AACGTATAACACCTTTAGCAGGTGTTTAAGTCACATTTATAGCAGATAATCAAGGCGATGTCTTGCATGTATGATGAGGCGTAAATAGAATAATTTATTGAGAGACTAATAAGGTGACACGATAATTTTCAAGGCCTCGTTAGATAAAATAACATAGTCGTCTACCAGATCTATGATAGTAAAGTTTATGGGAAACTAATTCTAGTGTTTAAATCAATTTTTTGCCTCCATTATTACAATATTACTCTTGAGCTAGGATTAGTTCATGTGAAGGTTATTAATTTTTATTGTAACTATGAAGGTGTGTAATGAATCCGACCTGAGAAATCGGGCGAGTATTCGATTCAGTTTCCCAAATTTTGGATCATAATTCATACCTTTGACAGTAGAAAAGTATCCCCCTAATAAACCAGTTAAGCCCAAATTGTTATTTATTTTTATTTTTTTTGTACACCAGGAATCTTACTTAAATTAATCAATATGTTTAAATATTATTAGTCTTAACAACAATTCCCTCTCTATCTTGTATTAATTGTCACATGCACCTAATCTGAATTCTTATTAATTAAAGAGTACATTTTATTTACTTGATTTTCACTTGTATGAATTTACACGAACTATTAGACTTACGTAAAACTTATTATGTTGTAAATTGCATTTGGATAACTCTTATTAACCCCTACAATGTATCTGAACATAGTTCCTAAACTTATCTCATTTTTGAACTTAGTTTTTCTAAACTTCTCATATGAACTTTATGATATATATGATCTTATCAGCTCTTATTATCTAAACTTATTTTTCCTAAAATAAATGAAAATATGGTAAAAAGAATAAAATTCCTCGTTGGACTCACTTGATGAGAGGAGATAATAGAAATCTCTCTAATAAGTCTCATGAGGTTTGCTCCCTAAACTCAAGGATATGAGATAGGGAGCGATATTATTACAGCACTACTCCATATTCAACCTCAAGTTTTTAAGGCAGGAGGAAACAAACTCGCTTGAAGGAGGAAATAAGGAAAAATTTCAAATGAGTCCCATAAGCCTTAATCCCGAGTCTAGTTGATGCCTAAAGAATGATACTAGTATATTATCCAATTATCATCTACAATAGTTTGACCTTTCCTAATACTCCCCGTCAATTAATATAGTAGTAAGACTAGTACCACATCAAGTGTTACTTTTAATATGGGTTTATCAATTCCAAACTGAAAAAATACAAAATAAACATTAAATATTCCTTTCAACCAATTACCAAGAAAATTTAGGCTATAACCATATTTATCCAATCAAAGTTGGTTCCATCACATGTATTCTCCTTTTCAAAAATTAATGGACAAATTTAACGAATTTTTATGAATGATTAACTTATCCTTTTAATTATCCAATTAGGATAATTCAGGTACTATGAATTCATTTATAAGATCAGCAACTTATATTGGGATAACATAATTCATTCAATTACATGCAATATAAGTTGTCAATTGTTGTTGTTACATTTGTTTTGTACAACAATTTAAAAGATGTGGGGACTAGGCATGTGCAACAGTTTCAGGTACATCCAAATATTTGGGGCTATCAGTATTAATTATTCAAATTTCACGTTCAGTCTACGCATATTTTAATGTACATTTCTAGTCTAGGCTTCTAGACTCTAATTAGACGATGTATATTTGTTTATTTATACTCCTTTCGTTCTTGAAAATCCGACTCATTTTGCATTTGTGCGGTTTTCAATGAACATCTTTGACCATGAATATTTTCGGTTATGTAAAAGTGAAAATTATAATAAGTTGATATTTGGAAAATTTATAATAAGCGGAATATAATAAGGTCTCATAGCTAATTTATATATATTGTATAAATAAATCATAAAATATGGTCAAAGTTATTTTATTTTGACCCTATAAAGTGAGTCGAACTTTCAGAACTGAGGTAGTATGATATTTAATCCATGAAATAATCATAATGTAATTATGTTCACTGAATATTAGTGGGTAGTTAAGCTAGGTAGCCGCATTTCGCCTAGAGGCAGTCCAATATTATAAATATTTTGTCTTGAATTATTGAAGTGTGACAAGAAATAAAGAATTTTTGTTTCAAAAAGAAAAAGAATTTTGAATAATGTCTAGAACTAAGGTTTAAAACAAAGTTATTTGGTATTTTATGTTATGTATCACATCTGAGATTCTATTCTCCTTTGTTACAAATGATGCATTATTAGGTAAAATGATTCTATTCTTTGATTTTTTTAATTTTTTCTTTTAATTTTTGTAAGAGAATTCATATTGCAAGTATTATCAATAGGCATGCAATAGACTAACAAGCAAGAAACTAACATATTGAAAGGTTGGTTGATCTGATAGGACCTCGAACACGCGATCTCGGCCACTTTGTGTACACTAGTTTGTAGGCGAGTGTGCAAATTATACGAGTACTTAGTAAGTTTTAGACCACTTTAAAGACCGGTTGTACTAGCTATTGGTGGGAGAAAGCTTAATGAATGATGCTGAGTTAATAAGTTTAATTGACCGATTATACTACCTATTTGTGGAAAAGTGTTTGATAAATAATTTTTAATTATTTATTACTATTTTGAACAAAGTGATTAAGGATATGATAGTTTAATAATTTGTTGGTAGGAGAATCTTTGGTAAAGGGCTGAAAATTTGACAAAGTTTAGGATAGAATAATCATTTATCATTACATACACAAATCTCTTTTTTTTTTTTTATTTTTTTTAGGAAAAATTGCGAAGAAGGGCCTTTTAAAGGGACGACCTTGTGACAAAGGTCCTTATAAAAAAAAGGTGGCATCAAAGGTGCTTAGTCACTTGGGTGGTGAGGAGGGGCCTTTGACCGAATTCCGGCCAACTTCCGGCGTTGACTTCTATTTTCAGGCCAAAAAAAACACGTGCCAAGCATGTGACTTCTTTTTCTTTTCTTTTTTTTTTCCCCCTTTTTCCTTCTTCTTCCTCGATTTTCCCTTTTCCTCCATTAACATTTTCTCTCTCCTAATTTCTTCATTTTCCTCCATTTCAATACACCTTCAATTTCATTTTTCTGGAAAATATTTTAAAGTTTAAGCTTAAGTTACTAGATTAATTGAAATTTGAACTTAATTAGTTAAATTAATAAAAGTTTGAACTTAATTTGTTGGATTAGTTGAAGTTGTTAATCTTAGTATTATGAGCGTCGGAGCTGGAAAATGTTGGATAGTTCCGACATTGTCGTGTTGACTCTGGTGGTGATGTCAATGGCAGCAATACAAGTTAAAACTCAAGCCAAGTTCAGAGCAATAATGCTCAAGGGGTTTTTAGAGTGGGTTGTTCAAGCCGGGAAAAGGGGATATTTAGGGGCGGGTTTTTCGGGGCGAGGGGGGTTTTGGGTGGGCTCAAGCATTCAAGCCACCGCCGTTTGTGGGGTCGGGTTTGCAAGGGGTTATGGGTGGCTGCTGGGGATAAGAAAGCAGAGATGAGGATGGGGTGTTAATGGAGGAAAAGGGGAAATCGAGGAAGAAAAAGGAAAAAGGGAAAAAAATAAAGAAAAAAAGAAGTCACGTGCCAAGCATGTGTTTTTCTTTTGGCCTGAAAATAGAAATCAACGCCGGAAGTTGGTCGGAATTCGGTCAAAGGCCCCTCCTCACCACCCAACTGACATATAAGGACCTTTGATGCCACCTTTTTTTTATAAGGACCTTTGTCACAAGGTCGTCCCTTTAAAAGGCCCTTCCTCACAATTTTTCTTTTTTTTTTATTTATATAAAAACTTATACAATTTACTTGTCCAAAATTAGGTTTTTGAGCTTAATCCTCTCTCAATCCATTTTCAACCAAACTCCCATTCTAGCATAAAAAAATTCGCTATTAATTGAAGACAAAATTTTAAGTTGTTAATCATGGAGTTAATGCGGATCTTTCGATTTAGGTGATGTGTTTGACTTGTGCTCAACATAAACAACAACAAATAAAACACAAATTTGAGTAACAAGCTATACAAAGAAAGGAACACGTAGAGATATGTGGCTTGGTCATAACCTATATCCACAGGGGCAGGGATAGTATTTTCTTATAAGCTTTCATGGAGGATAAACAAGCCGAGAGACATAACTACTTAGGAGATACAACACTCTCCATCTCACAAAATTTCTCAAGTGGAGTTATGTCTTAGCTTGGATTGGCTAGGCCTAGAAGCACTATGAGGACTATTAATTGTCTATCCAACGATTTCTTATACAACATTAAAAAAAAACCCCTAAAAGAAACCTTAAGGAGTATCATTAGTAGCCGTCATAAGCATATCAGAAATTTAGAAACAAAAACGCCTTCACTTGGACTAGGCACGGGCATGCTGCTCAGAGGCACGACCGTGCCCCTTTGAAAACGAGTAGGTAGAAACTTTCAACTTTGATATTGTTCATAAAACGACCATAACCTTCTTGTTTCTTATCAAAATTTGGCATATAACAAGTCCTTGAAAGTTCTTGAAACAAGCTATCACCTACAACTTGAATCACCTTAAGATATCTTTTAATTTGAGAGATATGTGTTTGAAGTCAATCATTCGCCATTTCACTAGATTTTAAGCCACAAATAGCACAAGTGAAATGAGGGTTTTTTTTTTTTTTTTTTTTAGACAAAACTACATAGGATTACTAGTATACAACATCTAAAACTCTTTCCCTCTCACTCCTGTCCAAAGAGAAAATGGACACAAAGGTCAACGCATATATGGTAAAATTATATTGCACCTGGTCAAGGTAAGAAGTCATATACTTCCGAACGTCAAGTAGAGTCTACCATCATGGCCATCATACGAAGTAATTAACTAATTTAAGAGAAAAGAGTCATATAGGCAATAGCAAGACTCACCTAAGGGATGAGGATCTAGGAAATAGAGGGATGGTTAGTCCCTTTAAAAAATAAAATTTTAAAAAAAAATTTAACAAAAAAAAAAAAAAAAAAAAAAAAAAAAACCTCACCTATGAACAAAGTTTTTTGTTTTTTTTTTTTGTTGGAAACAAAGAAAGAGCAAAGTTCTATGAACAAAAATGATGCAAAATTAACTCAAATTAGGTTGACTAGTGCTGGGATTTTAGCCCATTAGAATCTTCACCTAATCTACCCTAATTAAAAGAAATGATGCAAAAGAAGACATACTTGTACATTTTTTATGCTTAAAGATTAGGGGAGATGGTGATATCCTCCTAAAATGTTCAATTTTAATTTTTTTTTTTTAAATTAATTAACAGTATAAAACCTGACATATATGAATTAAACTTAATTAGAGGATATGTCAAATTTCGAAAATTGGGTGTGTGGATGATATGTTTCATGTTTTTATTTAATTTTGCTTAGATTTATTGTATCAAATTTCGAAATTTTTGAGTTTATAATCTTTTTTTTTTTTTTTTATCAAGTTGAAATAGAGAATTATTAAAATTAATGCACACAACACATGGATATAGATCTAGTTTTATGCATGAACACATATACCCGACCAAAATACAAGAAAATTTTTCCCTTAATTTTTAATTACAGTACACAATATTAATGTTTTTCTTATTTTCTAGAACAGTTCTCGGTGCGTAGAAAATGCCATCATAACGAAGGGGCAACATCGCCATTAGTATATGCTTATAGTTTCAAAGAATTCAAGTGACTTAATCAAGAGTATCAATTGTTTTATACAGTGAATTGTATCCGTAAAACTATATTAAGAATCCTAACGTCAACTGAAATATTCTGCACATCACAATTATCTGTGTGAATTCTTTCACTGAATCCTGAGGTGTTAGACCATCGGAGAGATGAATTCCGTCTTCAATGCAGAAAGCAACAGCTACTTGGCAAAAGAAACAGCAGCTGCTTGGAAAAGGGCATCTTGTGTCATGCAGCATAGCAGCTAAACACTATTGCCTAAGGCTCAAGCAATGAGCAACAAACGACTTCTGCATGCGACTGCTTCAACTGAATACAACATATTGATTGAGGAGGGTTCAATTAGATTTCATTTCAATGTCGCTCTCATCATTGGTTTTCTCATCAAAATCATCGGCAGGAAGAAAGCTGAGAAGTGGTAAGGGCAACAATGAGCTAAGGTTGCATAGGATAATGAGGGCAGCCAAATGATCAAATCTGTCCTTAGTGACACCAAAGACCTGGGTCAATCCAGCACCAATCAAGCCACCTAAGACACTTCCAGCATTTGATATAGACATCAATGTAGCAAACAAAGTAGCTTCAACTCCTTCCGGACATAATTTCGCAGCTAAGACAAGGATAGGCATAAATGAAATCTGTAATAGAGTGAATAGTCAGTACAGGGCATATCTAAACTTGAAAATGAGAAAAGCATCATCAATAACCAATAAACGGGGGATAAATGATTCAAAATGGCCTTGACCTTATAAGAAAATTAATTCCAAGCTAGATCTCCTATATAATGTCAGAAAAGACTAAATATGAGGCAATAATTTTAACTCGGCACGACACTTTCAACAAATTGATAAGGCATCCTTTTGCCTTAACATATGAAGCTAGAACTATTCTATTAAAGCTTATGATTATTCAAAACTAAACACATACTTGAACTCTCAATTCCATGTCATTGGTTTCGACAAACAGCAGAAGACTGGAAGACATGAACAAAAAACAGCTTTAGGGTGAATGTACCTGAGAAAGAACAGTGAGGATTAGGGAATCTCCCACAGCAAACCACTCGTCACTGATACCTAACTGGCGATTCAGCCCAGTTACAAGGAAAACCTGAAAATTGAATCCAAAACTATTTAGTTTGAGTATTTTCAGCACCAACAAAAATATGAATGTTATCCACAAACCTGTGTCATTCCTAGAGCAGTTCCAGCAATAGTTGTTGCCAAAAATATACTCCTCAATTTAACTTTCTTCAAAAAACCATTATAGAGGCCAACACCAAGCAGCGATGCAACAGAAGTTACAAGCTTCACCCGCCCAAGAAATTCAGGGGTAAAACCAAGTTTATTTGTTCTGAAATCCAAAAAACTTACAACTATTAATAATTTACAGAGATAATCTAAAAAATTAGCCAAAAAAAAAAAAAAAAAAAAAAAAAGATATGGTCCTAGATGTAATGGTAAAATGATCAAACAGGCGCTAAACTTAATGACTAGCCTAGAAAAAAAAAGCTGCTTTAACTCAACAACAACAATAATAATGTCAAAAGTATTTAATTCCGATAAAATAGAGTCAACTGCATAGTGCATACACCAAAATTTTTTATCTCCAGTGGTCCGTCGACAGAGATCCTCGTCCTCCAAGTTATTTCCATTCCAACTCAATTTGGTCAGTTGTGAGGTTGCTTGATGAAGCATCTATTAGGTAATTTTTTCCTAGAGTTGAAAGTGTTTAGAACCAGAAGATGCAGCAAACCCAAAAGCCACCTCCAGAGAAGAATTCTTACAAAAGGAGAGATGACCTGTAAATCAGAGTTACTAAGCTTAATGGGATATACGGGTGTTGGAAAGGCTTATATAAAGAGGGGTGAGGAGAGGGAAGGAGAATGACTTTTGTATACATATCACATTCCATAAGCTCCTTTGCGCTGTGGCTGGCATTAATTTTTCAAAGCTGTACCTCTATTTTGCACAGTATCCGTGTGAAATGTATAAGGTATAACAATCAGTAAAATTCATAGTAGGCAGTTGCCATTTATATCATATGCAACTGTAGAACAGTAATATGGTGGTTTCACTTGGGTCATATTGGGGGGGGGGGGGCTAGGGCCAGATATGAGATAGTCCTGAAATCGCAGTTACGTCATCAACAGTATATGATAACTGGAAGTGTAGATATACTTGTATTTTTTAATGTGGTGGCAGAAGCATATGTAGCCCAGATGAAATCTAATGTGTTAGCGTGAGCATCTATTTTTACCAAACTTGAAAGAATAAAATGATATACTGTATATTCACAAGTACATACGTGAAGTAGAACATAGCAGAATCCGACTGAGGTGTTGCCTGCCAAAGAAATACAAATAAGGTAGGATAATACACTCTTGGTTGCTTGACAGCATCCCACAACTGCACAACACTCTGGTGAAAGCTTTCTCGTAAACTGGGCCCTCCAGCACTACGACTATAATCCCACACTGGCCCAAGTACCCGTTGTTCTCTAACCAGAACAGCAACTGCAGAAGTGATTAGAGGAAGCAATGCAGTGACGCCAAAAACAAATCTGAAAATCAAATGTAAGGAATTTTGATTCAGAAAAAGACAACAAAATAAATATGACCACAAGGTTAACATCGGAACAGACCTCACACCATAAGCATCCACCAAAGAGCCACTAAAATAGGCACTCACAATACCCCCAAATGCTGAAGATCCCCAACACAATGACTGCAGAGAACCTGAGATACTTTGTGACTCACCACGAGCTCTCTCTACAACCATGGAATCTACAACCTAAAACATTAATCAGTGGCTGACATTGTAAAGCATATAATAAAATCAAGAGAATAAATTTTGCGCTAACTCAATACCAATACATAACCTATAAGATATCTGACAAAAAAGCATCATTATTCATAAGACTGCAAACATTGTTTTGTCAATAAACAGCACTATGTTCCCTTCATTTACATTCAGGGAAATAACTAAAGAATCAGATACTATGGCTGTTTGATGCTCAGATTAGGCCAACACTTCTATGCCATAAAAGAAGAGACAAACAAGTAGCAAAAAAGGGTTTCCCGTAGGTCAAGGAACTGAAAAGTATACCATCCATAAACACACCGAAAGAACTTACATTTAATATTACAATATTCCAAGGTTATCCAACACTTCTTTTTTTTTTTTTTTTCTTCTTTTTTTCCTTGATTGATTTAAGAAGTTATCTGATTTAAAAAAACCAAATGAAAATTTGATACGATAACAAGTAGTACATTATCGTGTGCAGATACATATCCAAGTATAAGACATGGCAAGAATTAAAGTTTTGGAGATTGTAACATAGCTAGAATTGGACACAGAAAAGAAAAATGGCATTCATAAACCATATTTTCTGAGTTTTAAAGACTCGTATGTGCTTTTCACATTATAAATACATAAACACACTTGAGTCATTTGTTCTTGATAAATTTATGGTCTAAAGCACATTTTGGGTAGGGTTAATATAGGGCCAAAATGTTTATCCAATTTAATACATAAGGAAAATAGATAATGTAAAAAAAATTACATGCATATTTTAATTATGGCTTTGTCCAATATTTATTTTAAGGAAAAATTGGTAAAATTAATCCTAACTTTTGCCCGTTCGCTCAAAATAATCCCAATTTTGGATTATTTTTAATTAATCCGAACTTCGGGGGTCATTCGCTCAAAATGATCCCAACCGGTCACTCAACTTGTTACAACAGGTTAAGGTGACACGTGTCACCACATAAATTGGGAATTTTTTTAAAAAAAAAAAAAAAAAAAAAAAAAAAAAAGCTAAAACAATTAAAAAAAAAAAGAAAAACAACCCAGCCCCACCCACCGACTCACGATCACCCTCTCCACCAACAGCCACGACCCCCTCTCAAAACCCCCCCATCCCGCCGGCGCCCAGACAACCCTCCCCTGTGCTGGCGCCGTCGACACCCCTCCCCTACCCCTTGAACCCCCATACTTGCACAACAACCACCGAGCCACACCACATTGCTCCAGCCACCACAAGAAGCACCAGCCAAACATCAGCAATTCGCACAACAATAGCACCACTCCACCACCCAATTGCTCCAAACCAACATCATCTACAGCAATTTGGCACCTAAATACAAAAATTCCAGCCTCCAATCTTAGCACCAAATTCGAATTATCGCTAGCCCAATTCAGATTCCGCACATAAAGTTCCGATCATGCCAACGGCGCCAGAGCGGGGGGAGGGTTGTCTGGGCGCCAACAGGGGGAGGGGGCGGGGGAACCTGGGCTGGGCTTCAGGGAGGGGGGACTGCCGGAACGGTGGTGGTGGCCGATGGGGGTTGCGTAGGTATTGGGTGTGCGTTTTTTTTTTTTGTTCTTATTTTAAAATAATTTTTTTCAACCTATAATTTTCTGACACGTGTCATTGAAACCATTAAAAATTTTTAAAAAAAAAAAAAAAGAAAGAAAAATAGGTTACCGGTTACTTGGGACCATTTTGAGCAAATGACCCCCAAAGTTCGGATTATTTAAAATAATCCAAAGTTTGTATTATTTTGAGCGAATGGGCAAAAGTTGGGATCATTTTTACCAATTTTTCCTTATTTTAATTGATAGTTTGTTGGCTTGCTCATTATCGATCCGCTATTGACCCGTGACCCACATTGGCCCAACCCGCTATTGACTCTATAAAATGTGACCCTCTTTGACCCGACCAGCAATCGTCCCGCCCAGACCCTGACCCGCACCGCCCAATAAACAGGTCTACTTTTAATTAAATGACTGTAGGACCTCATGAATCAGCTAAATATTTTTACAAAATACACATTTAAAATGCAGGCTTTTCACAATGGCATGTCAAAGTTGTCTCCAGCCATAGAATTTTAACCAAGAGTCCAAGACAGAGCTATAAAACATAATATGTTGTAACCAGGATATGGAATGCTTACAACATCAGAAAAGGCGACTGATAGAGATCCAAGAAGTATGAAGCAAGCAGCACTGTATTTGCTGTCAACCATAGTAGCCATCAAAGTCCAGGAAAATGCACCAAGAAGGCCAGACAGTACCAAATATGATCTTCTTCGATATCCAAAAAGAGGTATTGAATCACTGAAACATTATTTTTCAATGAATTAATACAACAATATAAGAAAAACAGACAACTTGATTAGATATAAAATAAGAAAAACTTAGGACGAACCGGTACCTTATAAATCCGTAAAGAGGCTTAACAAGCCATGGGAATGAAGAGAACCCAGATATGACAGCTGTCTAGTCAATCAACAGTAAGTTTGTTAATATTTCAATGTTTGGAATTGAGTAATAAACTTACCTTAAGCATACTACATATACTAGGATTACTATCAAATTCAAGTGGATAAAAAAATTACAGCACCATCATCACATCCATACATTGCACCTTTCAGTGCACAACTTATGACATTGGCAAGCCATTTGAAAAATCAAATGCTGTATATTGTGCTAAGAAGTATTATGCTTATACACAAGATAAAAACAAAATACAAACATTTCAAAGCAGTAAAGTACATAATAACAAAAAGGTCAGTGGTGCATCTGGTGATTGTTTAACACATAACTTTGCAAAGTTTTATAACTTGTATTGTGTAGTTTTGCCATTAGGAATATAATGTTTTAACATATTTATTTCAATTTTGTTTACTACTACTTTACACAGAAATTGGAGCTGTCTAAGGTAAAATGCTTTTTTCTATATTGAGCTGTATCAGCCAACTCAACCTTATCTCTCCATTCGAATCAAAAGGAACATGAATTGCAGCAACAGCAACCCATGCAGTGTTGCAGCCCACCAGTAGGAGCTCAAATTCGGGCCAAAATCTACAGTTGGCCTAAGTGCAATAAATCAGCCTCATTCTTCAATTAGTCAATTTACACCCTTTTGACTGCAGTTGGACTTAATACTTGCACCTCACTTCCCATCCACTCTGTCAGAGCTACCGCATTATTTAATCATTTATTAGTTCAGATCAGCATGACGCCTCACTGATCTAATGGCTAAATACACTAGATTTGATTGCTGAGAACTTTGAAGAGATAAAGTAGCAACGGAGTTGGAGAGTGCAGCTATCTAGAATTGAGACATATATTTGATGAGTGGCATTTATGCCACGATTTAGAGCCCGTTTTAGTGGTTTTTCCCCGTGCTTGCAGCTTGTTTGTGCCCTCTTTTATGCCTTTACTTTCTTATCCTCGTTTTAGTTTCCCTTCTATTTTTGCCCTTTTTCTACCTTTGTTTCTTTTTCTTCATGTTTTTGTAGAAAACCTTGATGATGAAGCAAGGAGAGAAGCTTTGAAACTAGTTGCATGGGAGTGCTGAGCGCCCAAGGAGAGACCGCGCATATGCAGAATGCGTGGGCGCGCACAGAGGACCAAATTGAAGATTCGAAGGCAATGGCTATGCGCACTTGTGTTGCGGCCACTGAGAGGGCGCGCACTAGAATTACGCGGGAAACCGACTTATCGTGCGCCCTCTCACAGTAGGCTGCGCGCACGCAATAATTTGAGTACGAGAAAGTAAACCCAGGCACTGCGTGCCCGCGACCAAGGCAGGCGCGCATAGCCACTGTCTTGAATCTTCAATTTGGTCCTCTATGAGCGCCCGCACATGTCTACAACGTGCATTTGCAAGGTCTCTCCTCGGGCACTCAGCACTCCCATGCAACTAGCTTCAAAGCTTCTCTCCTTGCTTCATCATCATGATTTCCTACAAAAACATGAAGAAAAAGAAACAAAGGTAGAAAAAGGGCCTAAATAGAAGGGAAACTAAGAAAAGAGAGAAAATGAGGATAAGAAAGTAAAGGCAAAAAAGAGAGCACAAACAAGCTACAAGTATGGAAAAAAACCACTAAAGTAGGCTCTAAATGCCACTCATCAACTTCTCCAACACTTGCCTCTTGCTTGTCCTCAAGCAAAGAGAGAGCTACAAGATCCACTAAAAACTAACAAAGAGCCGCAGTTGCTTTTAGCATTAGCAACAAACCATTTAAACCCCAAAGTCGCCAATGAGGTCGAGTATGCTCTCGTGAGGGTTTCCAAAGAGCTTAACCCACAAATCTTGTAAAACTGTTATCAACACAAACCAATGACAAGGAAAAGAGAAGCAACAATCCTAACACAAATCATAATCAAATTGAGCTTTTAAAAACAGCAAGCACAGATGAACCACTAACTTTCTAAGTAATAGAAGTGAGCACGCAAGGGGATGCGAAAGGTTGATTGAAGGATAAACTATGCTAAGCTTAGAGAACTCTAACATGCTCCACTCCCCTTGCATTCCATACATTCTTAACACGTTCTCTCATCTAAATTCAAATCCACCCTTTGAGGTAGCATCTCATGACGCTACGAAGGAACCGGAACAAAGATAAGTCAATGAAGACAAGGGAAACCCGACATCTTACCAAGTCATGCTTTCTCCATATGCTTGAAATCTAGCTCCCTCCACCGACTAGTGACTCACCTAACCTAGGTCAAAGGACATTAAGAGGGTTATAACGTTGGTTAGGGGGTAAAGGTGTCGAAAAATTTGGAAATTGGTGCCAAGCCTAATTGTGAAGCAAAGGGTGATCAAGCCTCTATTCAAAATCAAACTTTCCCAATTTTCAAACAAGATTGCCACAAACTTTAACCAACTCGCCAAAACCACTTTTAAACTTTCATTCTCTTCCTCTTCACCTTTTTTTTTCTTCTTTTTCTTTTTCTTTTTTTTTTTATAAAAAAAAAATTTAGATTTTTTTTTTCAACTTTATCCGTTGTCCTTGCCTTTTATAGCTATAGACGGCTTTTTCTTAGAATTTGCATTTGCTTTTATTGAACACAAATATTCACAAAACCCAACCTCACTTTTCAGTCCAAACCATCACCTTCTAACTTTTCAAACCAAAATCATAACAAACTTTCATGACACAAGCATCACATTCCTATGGGTGAAAAATAAAACAAAAGGGCCATGGGGTTTGTAATATGCTTATAAATAAAGAGCGATAGGCTCAACATGGTTATCAAGGGACAAAGGCAAACAAAAATACAATAAACAATAAAAATAAAAGCTAATCCTAGAAAACTAAATAGTCACCAAAGGAAAAATGCCTTTGTAATCCCTAGATTTAGTTCGGTCGCGATCTCAGGTCTCTAGACATCAAGTTCTCAATCTAAGCATGCCTTGGTAAGGATCGTGCACCACTCATACAAGAAATGTTAAAGGCTTGAAAAATAAATCTCACATCGGGTTACAAAAACTACTTTTAGGGTTTCAAATCCCCTAATGAGAGCAACACCTTACCACAAACAAGTGAAATTAGGTTTAATGGGTCTTACGAGTTCCAGCGCAAGGGCTAGTTCAAAAAAGGCTCCCTGCGCCTTCCGCATCATACGGCTCCGTCCCGAGCTCCTGTCGTCGACCCAACTACCTTAGCATAGGCATATCCTAGAGTCAACTAATGGCAATCCCGAAGCATGCAAACTTATAATACCCAAGAAGAAAGGCATTCAAACACACAAGTCATCTTTTATTATGCCCAAATTGAAAATGAAACAATCAAAATTCACATGGTTTGTCTTGAAGAAAAGAAAATCTTTTTCATTTTCAAGTTTTTTGGTTTTTGTTTTTATTTTTGTTCATTAAAGGAAGAAGTAAATGAAGGCAAACGGGTATGTAAGCATATAATTCCCAATCGATAAACAAAGATGACTTGTGTGTCAAGACAAACCATGTGAATTTTGTTTGTTTCATTTTCAATTTGGGCATAATAAAAGATGACTTGTGTGTTTGAATGTCTTTCTTCTTGAGTATTATAAGTTTGCACGCTTCGGGATTACCATTGGTTGACTCTAGGATATGCCTATGCTATGCCTATGCTAAGGTAGTTGTGCTAGAACTCATAAGGCCCATTGAACCTAATTTCACTTGTTTGTGGTAAGAAGGTGTTGCTCTCATCAGGGGATTTGAAACCCTAAAGGTAATTTTTGTAACCCGATGTGAGTTTTATTGTTCAAGCCTTCAACATTTCTTGTATGAGTGGTGTAGGATCCTTATCAAGGCATGCTTAGATCAAGAACTTGATGTCTAGATACCTGAGATCGCGATCGAACTAAATATAGGGATTACAAAGGCATTTTTCCTTCGGCGAATATTTTATTTTCTAGGATTAGCTTTTATTTTTATTGCTTTTTGTATTTTTGTTTGCTTTTGTCCCTTGCTAACCATGTTAGTCTATCGCTCTTTATTTATAAGCATATTACAAACCCCATGACCCTTTTGTTTCATTTTTCACCCATAGAAATGTGATGCTTATGTCATGAAAGTTTGTTATGATTTTGGTTTGAAAAGTAAGAAGGTGATGGTTTGGAATGGAAAGTGAGGTTGGGTTTTGTGAATTGTGTTCAATAAAAGCAAATGCAAATTCTAAGAAAAAGTCGGCCATAAAAAGCAAGGACAACGGAATAAAAGTTGAAAAAAAAATCTAAATCTTAAAAAAAAAAAAAAAAAAAAAAAAAAAAAAAAAAAGTGAAGATGAAAAGAGGAAGAGAATGGAAGTTCAAAAGTGGTTTTGGCGAATTGGTTAAAGTTTGTGGCAATCTTGTTTGAAAATTGGGAATGTTTGATTTTGAAATAAAGGCTTGATCTCCCTTTGCTTTATAATTAGGCTTAGCACCAATTTCTAAATTCTTCCACACCTTTAACCCCTAGCGAACGTTACAACCCTTTTAATGTCCTTTTAACCTAGGTTAGTTGAGTCACTAATCGGTGGAGGGAGCTAGATTTCAAGCATATGGAGAGAGAATGACTCGGTAAGATGCCGAGTTCCCCTTGTCTTCATTGACTTATTTCTATTGTGGCTCCTTCGCAGAGTCATGAGATGCTACCTCAAATGGTGGATTTGAATCTAGATGAGAGAACACGGTAAGAATGTATGGAATGTAGGGGGTTGAGCATGTTAGAGTTCTCTACGCTTAACACAGTATATCCTTCAATCAACCTTTGGCATCTTGCGTGCTCACTTCTATTACTTAAAAAGCTAGTCATTCATCTGTGCTTATTATCTTTAACAACTCGATTTAATTATGATTTGTGTTGTGATTGTTGCTTCTCTTTTCCTTCTTTTCCTCGCCATTGGTTTGTGTTGATCACAGTTTTGCTTGTGGGTTAAGCTCTTTGGAAACCCTCACGAGAGCATACTCGTCCTCATTGGCAGGGTTTAAATGGCTTGTTGCTAATGCTAAAAGCAACTGCGGCTCTTTGTTAGTTTTTAGTGTCTTGTAGCTCTTTCTTTGCTTGAGGACAAGCAAAAGGTAAGTGTTGGGGAAGTTGATGAGGGGCATTTATGCCACGATTTAGAGCCCGTTTTAGTGATTTTTCCCCATGCTCGTAGCTTGTTTGTGCCCACTTATATGCCTCTACTTTCTTATCCTCGTTTTCTCTCTTTTCTTAGTTTCCCTTCTATTTTTGCCCTTTTTCTACCTTTTTTTCTTTTTCTTCATCTTGTTGTAGGAAACCTTGATGATGAAGCAAGGAAAGAAGCTTTGAAGCTAGTTGCATGGGAGTGCTGAGGAGACCGCTCAAATGCAGAATGCGCGGGGGCGCACAAAGGACCAAATTGAAGATTCAAGGCAGTGGCTATGCTCGCGTGTGCCGCGGCCACTTGCACGGGCGCACGCTGAGTGGCAGATTACAAGGCAGGGAGTCTACGCGCCTTGGTCGCGGGCTCACTTTATTTTTCAAGGGCGCGCATTTTTGGGTTTACTTTCCCGTAACCAGATTTTTGTGGGCGTCCAGCCTACTGTGAAGGCGCACAAGATAAGTCAGTTTCCCTCATTTAAGCCTCTTATATAAATAGCTTTAAGTCTCTATTCTTAGGAATTAATTAGGGATTTAGAGTAGCTTAATTTTCAGTAATCCTAGAGAGAGTAACACTATCTTATGATCCAGGATGATTTGTAATCAACCTTTTTGAAGATTAATGAAGCTACATTAGTAACTTCTTTCCCTTAACTCTTTATTTACTTGATTTATTTCCTTTATTTGCTTGTTAATCATGTTGATGCTTGTTAGTTTGTTGATTAATCATGTCATTAGTATGATTAGTGAGTAGTTCCCCAACTAAGGGGATGGTGGTGGTGTAATTAGATCTTGAGCATGTCTAGGGTTTGGAATTGATTTATTTGTGATTAAAATGCTTTGTCTTCCATGTCTTACCCATTACTTCTCTTGAGAGGCCAATCAATTGTTGTAGTTGGGTGGATTGAACTGGAGTATGACGACAGAGTAGTTTAGGAATGTCCATTGAATGATTTGCTTGATTTGTACCTCAATTCATGTGGCTTATGACGACAAAGTAAGTTTGTGCTTGAGTTGAGAAATCAATTAGCCCCGACAGGTGGCTAGATTGTGCTTTGAATCATTGAGCATGAGTTGCTTAGTTTACATTTCAATTCAATTTCATACCTTGTTTATGCTTGAGTGAATGTTACACCTAAACCATTTCCCTTAGTGCTTATTCCTTGATTTCTAGTTTATTTGTATTTCTTGTTTAATGTCTTTAGATTTCAGATTACACACTCTTTATCCCGAACTAGCTTAATTGTTGATGATGCTTGGTGGTGTTTAGTTGTTCCCTGTGTTCGACCCCTACACTTACCCTATATTTGTATTAGATGTGCTAGGTTTTATAAACTCTATCTAATTTAGGGGTAGATAGTGACGACCTATTTATTCCCTTATCAATATTAGGGGTTGAAAGAAGCAGAGAGTATTTAGGGTTCAATGAGGTGCAGAAGCAAGCAATCATAGTAGCTTTTTCTAGCAGTCCTCAACTCCAACTAGTTAGTAGCATGGCATACGTTTTGTACACTAATTTATGTGGGACTGACTTTTCTAGTTTTATTACTTCAAACACCATGCAATAGTGGTTTGCTTGGTTTCCATCGAAAACCTCAAATAACAATACATATTGGTCATTCATGTAATAGTACTCTTGCGACATGACACAAGTCAATGACATTGCATAAAACTAATAATGAAATTGAAGGGTGAAGGGTGAAGAAAAAGTTACACAACATACCTCTGCAGGATCTAGATGCAAATCATCTTTCAGATAAAAACTGACAGCAAGCCGTGAGAGGCCTAAAACACCCTGAACAAAGTAAACCATGGCAACAGCAATTGTATCTGGTGACATGTCCACACCAAAACAGCTAAACCAGCTCTTAGATTTGATCTTGCGTTTAACTAATAATTTACTTGAAGATGCCTCATTCTCTGCTTCAGCTGTTAAGAAATCTCCTTCTCTTGAATCTGGATCAAGAACATATAAAAAATAAATAAATAAAAAAAAATACTCAGACATCTAGACACACAAGGGTAACTAACGTGATGATCCTTCAAAGAAGCAATGAGACAACAAACTCAACTTCAAAAAGACCATCTCATATATGACCAAAAATCTATAGCAAAAAGACAGACCTTGAAGAATAAGATTTAAATCTGACAGATCCATATATTCTTCAAATCACATATGAGAACTTCAAGAAAATTAGAACCCCAAATATTAGTTGACCCTCTACTAATTAGACCCCCATTAACAACTGCCCTTTCCTGAACAACTGCTAGAAGTTATTCTAGGCATCTCCTACACAACTTATTATTTTGTTTTTTTTTTTAAGTCAATGCAGAGATTGATAAAGGATTCTGAATTATTTTAATCATTTTCAAACAGCTATGTCAAAATTCACACTTACAAAGAGAAGCTAACGATTACTTACGGATATACATCAATGCACATGACAATAAAAATAATGATAGATTGATATCACCTCCATCTCCGCCTTCTAGACTTTAGTAACCTTCAACGATGAATTATGCATGTTCTACCATTTCCATAACTTTTAAGGTGTCTATTGTAAATTTACAATGTAGTTTTCCTTATGCACAATTTTATCTGCAGGGACAGTGATGGACAATTTCACCCTCCAATGCAGCTTGTGCCACAACGACCAAGACAAAATTTTCAGGCATTACTCAAGAAAAATATTCTCAAAACTTGGTAGTTTTTTATGATCACAGAGCATATTTACCATAGTCAAGGAGTTCTACTCATTAGAAAGTAAATGCCTTTTGACAATTACCAAGATCGTCAAGGGTTGTATTTTTGGTGCTATTACACAGTAGAGAATTTTAACCCCAAAAAAAAAAAAAAAAAGTAGAGAATTATATATTACAAAATTGATGGATCAATACATAAATTTTTTTAAAAAAAACTTTCAGAATCAGCAAGAAAAAGCAAGAAGTAATTAAGCATGCGGCCTGGAGTCCTAGAATCAGGGCAATTCTGTCCCTTTGATTCGAACCTTTAAATTTTGGCTGCCTAGTTTGATTTAAACCCCTAGCTATGTGTCTTACATTGCTAATAAGGAATGTAAAGTACTATGCATTATAAGAGCTTCTTTCTGCTTTATTACCCATTAATTATTATACCAAAAAACAGGCACCAATCACCCAGGCCAATCTATCTCCTTTGCACTAATATTAACTCTAGAAATGGCATTTTTACACTGGTTTTTATAAATATGATGTCTACTATGATTACACCGATGACTACTACAATGGCATATGGTACAACAAACATTCTGGAAAGATTATTGGGTAGACGGGAAACATCAGTCCATCATCCCAAGTTCCCAACTTACACTGTCTCCTGATGGTAACTTAATACTCAGCAATGGCGAGAGACAATCCATCGTAACTTGGTCAAGCATATCATCCTCAGATCTTAATTCTAATACATTAGTTCTTGAGGACAGTGGTAATCTGGTGATAAAGATTATTTCAGATCCCAACAATATCCTCTAGCAGAGTTTTGATCATCCTATCGACATGTGGTTAAGTGGTGCAAAAGTCAATAAGCTAACCAACACACAATAAGTCTAAGTTCTGGTAGTAATTCTCTTTTCTATGGATATCAAGACAATGAGCTCTATTAGTCTTATAAGGATAGTCCTAGAATGATTAAGAAATCGTTTGGAATTTGACTGGTATAAAAGTATAATGGCCAGGCAAACATGCTTCTATTCGATAACACCACCATCTCCCATGTGTCAACTTTCAAAGTTTTAAACAAGACGTATTTTACATATTCCCTGACAACACCTCCATTGTAACATGATTTAAGCAGAACAAAGCCAGTGGGTTGTAAACTCAAAGTCACTTTTGGGAACTTCTTGTGTTGTTTATTATATTTTATTGAGTGAGTGAGCCCTTGTAGACTTGCTTTGTTTGCACTTTTGACACTATTCACACACTCATCTTTAATTGCATATTGTGATTAAACGTAAGGAAAAATATAACCATGTGGAGTCTTGTTAGATTCGCCCCTTTATATATTTTCACAATATCAACTTTTTATAAATTTTACTATTAAATAATAAAAGATACTTTAGGTTTAACTTGTGCTTTGGGAAGCGTAATCTCCCTCATGTTTCAATATTAAAAGAACGGGAGAAGTATATAAAGTTTACTCAGAAAGTAGAACTTCAAAGAACACCTTAAAACAGAAAGTGGCTTCATTGTCAAATACATTTCCAAAGTTACGTTATTGAGTGTGTAACATAGTGATAAAAATACTTGTTCTTGAGGTTTTACGCATTCTTCTATACACCTTTGGCCATTCAAATTCATAATAAAAGTGATACGCCAGCCGTTCTTTTTTGGTTAACATATTTCTTTTATCACAATTCCAATGCATAACTTCAACGATTTATATCTTTAATTGCATCATTAAGTAAAAAGAATAGAAAGTTGACGTTTTAAAACTATACAAAGTCATTTTTGGTGATGCACATTGAAATGAATATAGCAAAATCTCACATAAGTGTTTTTTCTTATAAATTGTTGAGCATCTATGGTAAAATTTTGTAAACTTTACAAAGCAAAAGTCAAACTTTACGGGATACAGGACGTATATTATATTATGTACTCTGGTGAAATTTATAAATGGGTTGATAATATAACTATGTTAATATTTTCCTATCTGTTTTCATGCTTTTGATGACTCTAAAATGAGCAAGAACCTTTTTTCTAAACATATGCTTTATAGCAAATGAAAATAAGAGGATTTTTTTTCTTAAAAAGTTTCAAAAGAGTTTTTGAAAGGTTAAGATTAAGAACGTAACCTCAATTTTAAGTCAAAACATGACTGAAGTTGTAGCCCCTGATTCGACTCAGCTATTCATGTAATATTGCCTTGGGCTTTTTTTTGTGGTCATCCTTTGAACTTATTCCTTAGGAAATTGAACATAACATTGTTAAATTTAGTATAAAGAAGAGTAACAGACTTTGTACTTAGATATGTTGGCTTTTATACCTTCACCTGTTGTTCGTCCCCCATAAGTGTCAAAGTGATAGATATAAAGCAGAATTTCAAGCATGGTCATAAGGTAATAAAGCTTTTAATGAATTTAATATGAATCACTTTAATTATTGATAGTATCAGAATATATTATTTGAATTACACATCATTGCAACGCTATTAAGTTTTACAAATTATGTTATTGTGAGCTTCAATTTCAAAAGTTACTTGCTTTTGATGACTCACTAGTTCTGAGCTTTTTTTTTTTTTTTTCTTTTGAAAAATGGAAACTAATAATCTTACCTTTGTCAGTTATGCTCAAAACAATCCTACCTTTAAGTAATCTAGAAACAATCCCACTTTTAACCTCCATCTTCCCAAAACAGTCCCATTTATTTATAACCTGTTTCGAAGGTAATTTTTTTTGTCAAAAACAACACCACCACCATACCTTTATAACCACCATCACCATACATCCATAACCATCACTTCCACCACCCTTTCCATCCCTCTCTCTCTCCGCCACATCACCACCGCTATAATCTCATCCCATTCTCTCTCCTCCACCTCTTATAGACCTTGTCCTCAAAAGGATACTCTTCCTTCAGAACTCCATCAAAACCCCCTTTAAAATGTCACCATTAATCCACCCCACAAGCTCAAATCCCCGAAATATGGCGATGAAACCCCATTTAAGGAGGACCATTTTACTCAGATTTTTGAAGGAAGCTCGCCGCCACCTCTAAGGATTGCCGTGCTCGACAACCTAAAAATGCAGTTGTAAATTGACAACATCACGTCCCCATGGAAATTTTCCATTGCCATTTTCGAAATTTGTAAAAAGCTAGAAATTGGGAAATCTAAGTAGGGTGGTGGTTTCGTGGGTGAGGTTTTGGTTGATGGTGATTTCGTGGAGGTATTTTTCATAGGGGGGTTGGTGGTGGCTGATTTCGGGGGGGGGGGGGGGGGCTTGTTGCAGTGGTGCTCCTCCAGCTAGGAAGAGGGTGGGGTGGCATACTACTCCGACAGGGAAGGGGAAGGCAATGGGGGTGCTGTTCAGGTGGGGTTTTGGGAAAGGGGTTGATTTTTTTCGTTATTGTTTTTTTTAATTAGTTTTTTAAAAAAGAGACCATTAGAAGGTGACACGTGGCACATCACCTTCTAACATAGGTTATCAATTTCACAAACCGGTAAAAGACTTGTTTGAGTAGATGGGGGTAAAAGATGGGATTGTTTCCAAATTTTGAAAAGATAGGATTGTTTTAAGCAGAAATGAAAAAGGTGGGATTATTAGTTTCCATTTTTCCTTTTTTTTTTTTTTTTTTTTTTACCTGTATTAGTAAGAAATATGTCCCATGCTTAAAAACATTTATTTTAGATGATGCAATGCACGTCTTTTACCATTAATATCTCTTATAAGGTATTAGTAAAAATTATAAAATATTTGATAGATGAATCAAAGAATACCCCATATCACTATGTTTTTTTCTTATTTGAAATAATATATAGGATATACCCTCAAATTGTAACTAGTTGCATGATTCTAATCAAGAACATCAAAAAGAAACAAAGGAACTATGTAAGACATAGGATGAGGAGTATTCAGAGTAAATTAACATACTTTATGAGGTAGTTCAATAACAAAAAGTCTAATTAGATATATGGGATCCAAAGCTCCTAGTACATTGCGCTCTTTATACTAACCAACGTTTTGGGCTTTTCTTCCTACATACATAAACAACTTCCACTACATTTTTAAGTCATAGTGAGCAAGCACATTAACATACAAGTATTACAGAAGCAAAACATTTGCCGCGTCCTCATTGCTAAGCACCAATTCCCCTCGAAACTTGTCATAAAATAACCCTCAAATTTAACCACAAAGATTACATCCCATTTCTTCATTCAAAGACGGATAACATAATCAAATCAACAAACACTCACTTCAAGTGCAACAAACAATAGCCAATTACAACACCTCAATTTTGAGTCATGCCAATATCATCAATCAAGATCATAAACAACATTCAACAAACAATAACCACAAAAATTCATCTAAATAAAGGGCATAACAAATAAACAGCTTATAAAACATGAATTAAGCAAAAACAAGCCAAGATTACAACTTTCTATAGTGCAGTTACCATTTGCGGAAGCAGAAAATGGGTCGTCATCCTTATCGCGGCGGTGGGTGGTGACCGGCGGCACCGGAATGGAGACTGACATGTCAGCTTCAAGGCGTTTCCGGTGAGGTTTCCGGCGAGAAGATCTAGATTTTCCGGCAACCAGAAAAGGGGTTGGTCGGTGAATCTGGTAGAAAGTAGGAGCAGAAAAAAGAGAGGAAATTGAGAAATGAGGAGTTTTGGGAGGTATGATGGAGATTAACATGGAATAAACTTAATTTTAAATTTAGTTAATTATATTTTTTAATGGGGAAAAGTACTATCCAGTTTTTGCATTTAGATAATGTTTGTCAGTTGATTATGTAGACATTGAAGATTTTTTTTTTTTTTTTTTTTACGGGACATTGAAGATTTATATACATTCATGTACAGTGTTTTTTACCGCTAGTCTTGTATAGGCCCGCTCTATAATAAAAAAATAAATAAATAAATAAATTAACAAACTTGACAATTTATTTGAAATTGAATTATTTTTGAGCTATTTTGACTCAAGAAATCTTATATCCAAATATAACTTTGAATTAACCTGAGATTAACTCAAAATCGACTTAACATGATAATTTACGATCCAAACCTCACCTGGAATCGCCTCATAGTCCACTCGAAACCAATAAGGTCCAATAATTTAAGATCTGAATTTGATTGGACCCGAAACGAAATCTACTTGAAACTATTTAGACCCAAATATTTGGTTTTACTAAAACTACCCATGGCTTGTGTTAAGGTAAATTTTGTGCTTTACTAACAACTCAAATACCCTATATTGTTCTAGGATATTAAGGGGTTGCTCCTACTATTACTGATTATACTTTGATAACCTCGCTAATGTAACAACAAATAAGTAAAATTACACTATTCGAAGAAGTCAAGCAAGAATTAAATCAACAAAATAAATGAATAAATGAACATAGATTAAGGATGCAAATGCCTTCCATTAAATAAAGGGTAAAGTCACTGCTACCATTGAATTACAACAGGAGAAGATTACCTCCATGTTCATACATTCGAATATGATAGAACGGATTTTAGAACATATTAAATAAGACTAGTCTGTCGCTTGCTACTAAGACAAAGGAGAATTAAGAAGAACACTAAAAAAGAAAGCTTAGAGAAATGAAATGCTTTTGTTGGATTTTTTGCTAATGCCTTTTGCCTTACAATCCTTCTCTATTTATAGACAAATTCTCTTAGAGTCTTTTCTTAATAGCACAATAATGATTGTTTATCCTTCTTAGCACCAATATTTCCTTTCTCTTTAACAAGTTTGAATGGACTCATATACCTGCTGGTCACATTCTCTAAGAAGTATAGGCCTCAGTATTAGGCCATCCTCTTTATACTTACTGGATTGTTACACTTGATAATGGACCTTTCATTTTGTGGCGTTGACCAGCCATCGTCTGTAAGTCAAACTACCCCACGTCAAGTTAAGCTTTGGTATAACCATCCTTAAAATAGTTAAGGCCAACAAAAATTAACAAAATTCTAAATTAGGTGTAATATTAACTTGAATTTTAATTTTGGATTCATCATGTATTATTATCCCTCAAAACATCTTGTTTTGATTTAACCACTTTTTTTTTGGTTTATTTTAGGGAATTTTGTCAAGAACTACCAATTAAAGCATGTATTTTGGAATCAACTACCTATTAATTTTTTTTTTTCAAAGAACTACCACAAAGTTGTAAAAAGTTTACCTAGCACTACCATTCTAAGAAATCCGGCTAGAATTTCCGCATGTGGGTCACACTTTATACCTTTCCCTCCGATTTTTGTTTCTCTCTTCCCTGCTGCTATTCTTCGTTTCAACTACAGAGCTCTTAAAAAAAAAAAGTTCTTCAACAAATTTCTTCCTTTTATCAACAATTGAGCAACGGCAAGCATTTCTGGAACATTACTTAAGGCAATTGTATTTACATTTGTTTTAAATTGAATATATAATATGTGAATTAGTGTTCTTGGTGACTAGAAATTGGGGAAGTTAGAGTTTTGCGATTTTGTGCGATTTGGGTAAATTGAATGGAATTATCCAAATTAGGGTTAATTAATTGGCTGTTTTCCATGTATATGCAGTACTTTTGCGAATTGAACTATGTCCAATTCATCCGATGAATCAGCTCGTCCTTTTCCTCCCAAATGCTATTGTGGAATCCCCCAAAGTGGAGACTTCTTGGACCAACACCAATCCAGGAAGAAGTATCGTTGCCTATAAGTTTTATGATGCCTTTACTGGTAGGCGTTGATGCAAGTTTTTTGAATGGATTGATGAAGAAATTGTGGAATAGCAAAGGGTCATAACTAACTAGCTTGTGTTGGAGAATAAGTTGATGAAGGCTGAAATTGCTAATCAGAAGCAAGAGGTGTGTTTGCTACAAGATCAAAAAGCAAGGTTGGTTGAACAAACTGAAAAATTAAGCAAGAAATTGAAGGAGAAAGAAACAAAAGTTGGAGGGAAATGTATAAAGTGGGACCCACATGCCGGAGGTTCTAGCCGGACTTTTTAGAGTGATAGTGCTAGTTAAACTTTTTACAACTTTGTGGTAGTTCTTTGAAGAAAAAAAATTAAAAGGTAGTTGTTTCCAAAATACGTGCTTTAATTGGTAATTCTTGACAAAATTTCTTTTATTTTTATTTAACCACTCACAAAAACGTAAAAGGCTATGCTTCACCACCTCTTTACTAAAAATTATCGATTTTCATGCTATAACTTGCTCTATCAACATTTTAGGGGTCATTTTGACCCTTTGGGTCAGATTTGAGGTCAAAACACCAAAAAAAAGTATTAAAAATGTTTTATTTTATTTGTGTGTGTCACATACACCGAAGTAACTCTTAGAATGCAAAACAAGTCATTTTCAATAACTATATTTCGATTTTGGCCTCAAACGGAGTCCAACAAAGGGCTAAAATGACCTCTAATATTTTTATAGAGCAAATTTTGACACAAAAATCAATGTTTCTATTTAAAAAATGGAATTTACGGTTAAGAGGTGGTGAAATCTAACATTTTGCGTTTTTTGTGGGTGGTTAACTAAAATAAACGAAACAAAGGATGGTTAAATCAAAATATGATGCTTTGAGGGGTGGTCAAATACAAAATTTTCATTTAATTTATATTTTCTTAAAGACTAAGTGTATGTATTAATTGTTTCAAGGTTTTTTGGAATCCTTTGGGATACAGATTGTCATGCTACTCTTCGAGTCTTGAGACACTTGCAAAACAATGAATATTCCGTAACAGGAATATTCACCTTCGACAATTAAGTTAAAACCAGAAATGGAGGGTTTAAAGAGAGAAAGTTAGAGAGAAGGTAGAGCAAATAACACTAATAAATATGCCTTAAATGCTTATGTCTCAATCCACCCCTTCCATCATTAATGATTGTGATATTTATAGTGGTGGAAATGCATGCCTAAATTTCTAGGGTTACATACCCTAGAAATGTGTGCTTTGATTAGCTACGCATTGATAGTAGGACACGTAACCTGGTGAGGGCCATCATGGCACTCTTTTCCGGATTTGGATTTTTTGATGTAATAACCATTTTCCCTCTCTCAGGTGTTTCTATATTGCCATGTGTCTTCTTCCTATTGGGACATGTGTCACCAATGTATTAGACCACTTGTCACTTTAGGATTGGACCACGTGGAGGGGGTAAATTTACCCTAAACATTAATAAGTAATTCAAATTATTATATATATGTAACTAAATAAAATTCTTGTAAATGGCATAATACAATTTATATTAAGGCTAATCACTTATAAAATTAAAATCTTATATAATTGTAGACGTGTAGAATATGTATAGAAATTAAAAACTTCTTATACTTATAGTCCTTGATTCCTTATTTCATTATAGACTAATGCATGTCGCTTAAAAATTTGTAATTCTTATAATCATTATAGAATTATACGGAGTAGTCCATATTTTATCAGTTTATCAATCACTTCTGTATTTGACAACCTAAAGTCGTATCACCTAATAAAAAATAATCCTAAAGTCCACTAACAAGGTAGTGAGGGAAGCAGGTTAGGATCGAATTCACAGGGAAATAATGTTATTTTATTCCTAATTAATTAATATAATATAATTTATCAAGAAACAATGTTAAAGGAGAATGATTGGTTATGTGATCTTTCTGAGGAAAGACATAAATATGTGAGTTCCGACCTTTATGAAAGAGCATTTTTAGGCGAGCATGATGACAACACAATGTGTTGAAATTATAAACAGTTTCTTCGATGGCTTTGTAAATAGGCACATAGAGCTCCATGAATTTCTAGAAAAATATACTAAGGCAATGGAGATCATAGAAGCGTGTAGGATCTGAATTGGATGCTGATGCAACATGTGACAAATATGCTCGAAGGCTTGTGAGAAGATTTAAAGTGGAGAAATTATTTTAGAAAATTTACATAGATGCTAAGTTTCAATCCTAAGGAGAGGAGGGATGTCGGATACAATAAGACGGAGTACATTCTTGAAGATAAAATTTGGATAATACCAGGAAAAAGTGAGGAAATCATAACAGACCGGTGTCGTTTGGTATGTTTGCTTTTTTATCATGATACCAAAGACCTATCTTGTGATTGTCGTAAATTAAGACATTTGGAATATTATGCAAGCATGTGATACGTGTGTTTGACTTGAACTTGGTGTTTGACATATCAACAAAATACACCCTCGATAGGTGAAGGAATTGAAAGATGTACCTAGAAAACATACACAGGTAAAATTAGCTTATCATGACCCGGGTGAAACTGTACAAATGTAATACTATAGTCGAATGATGAGTGAATTTGAGGAAATTTGTGAAGAGGCGACTGTTGTTGATGATATTGACACGATTGAGATAGTGATTAGTAGCCTACATCAGATGCGTTTGAATGTAAGAAAAAGCAAACTATGCTTCTTTGAGAAGCAAGCATCGCTCCCATCCTTTACCTGATCCTGAATTGTCACCATCTAAAATAGGTTCCAAACATGTGGCCACCCTAGAAAAAACGCCCTACTCCATCGATAAGCTACCATCGCTCCCTTCCTTACCTACTTCTCAACCTTCATATTTTGAACCTATAAAGGACTCTATCCCACGTAAGAAGCCTCAAGGCAGGCCAAAAAGCTCAAGGTATAAGAGTTTAGATGAGAATGGATATAAGTCCTAGAAAACCAACAACTCTAACTAAACAAATAAACCGGCCAGTGTGTCAATTTTGATTATATGTTTTACTTTTGCAAATATCTTTTCATAGTATTTGCTTCATTTACCTATACAATTTTTGGCTGGGGAAAGAAAAAGAACCAAGCATAGTTTGAGTGCTTTGTATATATGAGGAGTTCATTAACCTTGACTTGATCGAATAAAATACTGATAATGCTGCCTACGATTCTGATCACTCTCTTGAGTTTTGATGGAAGTAGGATATGGATTCATATTCCACGGTTGATTCTTCAATTACCTTTTCTTCTTTTCAATTCTTACAAAAGAAGACACCATGATATGGCATACTAACTGTGTTCATTTTAACAAAGTATTATAAGTGTATGCCTACTTTTGATTATGGATTGTGCCTACTTTTGATTAAGGG